CTAATCTATTCAAGGAGTTCCACTCCCTGGTGACTAGACATTCAAATATATGAGCCTATTCTTATTCAAACCACCCTAATTACAGAATTCCAGCACTCAAAAGGTTTCAGATTTTGGAGCATTCCATACTTCACACTTCTGGATTTGGGATATGTAACTAGTAAAATCTATGCAAATATTCTGAAAAGTTGTAAAATTTGAGACATTTTAGATAACAGACACTAAACCTGTGATAATAGCCAGGTGTGGTGGTGAATACCTGTCTGTAAGCCAGTAATGCCAGCACTGAGGAGGCTGAGGCAAGACAGTTGCATTCCAGGCCTGCTTGGGCTATATAGTGAGATCCTGTTTCAAACACCCCCAACTCAGTAACATATAACAAACATAAAATATTATACTGTGGGCTAGAGGAATGGAAAAGGAATGGAGCAGGGCAGAGATAGAAACTGAAAAAAACAAAACCCAAAACAAAACCAGACTAACTAGAATAACTTACATGACACTGTATCAAACAGATATTGTTCTGCATTTTATAAAATGTCTCAGAAACATCTCTGCCTGGATCAGGGTAACAGAACCTTAAAGTTTAGTTACAGCTACACTAAAAGTTACTACTACAAATTGGATGCAGTGGCATGAGGGTCTTGTCAGTGGCCCTCTGCTGGCTGGCGGTGTATTTATTTATTGAGACAGTCTCTTGCTATGTAGTTCTAGCTGGCCTCAAACTTACGGCAACTTCCTGCCTTAGCCTCCTGAGAGTGCTGGTGTTACACATGAATGCCACCATGCCTTGCTTTATTTATTTATTTTTTAATAGGAAGAAAGACTAATCACCACAGGAAAACAGATTTTTGTGGCTGTGACTACCTTGTGACCAACATGTTTATTCTTCATGATACCAAGTATTACCTAGAAAGAACTCAATCAAAATACGAGCAACTAGAGCTCTAATACTAGCTGTCCTGTCTGCCGCTGTCTCCTTTTTTTATGTAATAGGATAATAACTTTGCATTTCATTATTTTCAAGGCTCATTGATTAATTTTGACAACATACAGATAAGGTGACTTGTTTACGATCATTTACTTGGGAAAGTTCAGGTTCTGAACTGTGAGTCCTTGAGGGCAGAGATGGTGTCTTATTCACATGACTAGTTAGTGCCCAGGTTATACACGAAAATGTTTCTGAAATAAACAAGCATTTTTCTTCTGGTCTAGTTCTTCCTCCACCCGTTTCCTTCTCGAAACTGTCAAATGACTAGAAGAGTGCTGTGCAACAGTGTTGGGATACTTGGCATTACAATGCCTCTCATAACTGGCACTGCCTTCTGCTTGCCAGGGCTTCTCCTTCCAGATGGTTATGCTTAAGGTTCTGTTGAGAAGGTTCGTGGTGCTTTCATAATTTCTAAAAAAGGAGTTCAAGCTGAACTAAGTGGCATACACCAGTAATTCCAACATTGAGGAGGAGGAGGCAGGAAGATCAGGAGTTCATGCTCATCCTTGGCTACATGAGTTTTGAGGCCATCCTGGGTAACATGAGACTTCATCAAAAGGGGAAATTAAGGAAGTAAATATCAGGGGGCTCAGCAGATGACCCAGATTCCATTCCCAGCACCCACAGGACAGCTTATAGGCAGGCATCTGTAACTCCCATTCCAGGGAATCTGACGCCCTCTCTGACCTCCACACCACCAGGCACATACGCAAGTCATATATACACATGCCGGAAAACATTCATACATATAAAATAAACGCTAAAAAAAAATTACAGAAATATGAGTTTAACTTCTATTTAAACTGTTAGGGCGGGTTGGAGAGATGGCTCAGTGGTTAAGAGCACCGACTGCTCTTGCAGAGGTCCTGAGTTCAATTCCCAGCAACCACATGGTGGCTCACAACCATCTGTAATGAGATCTGGTGCCCTCTTCTATATACATAATAAATAAATTTAAAAAAATTAAAAAAAAAAACAAAAAAAAACTGTTAGGTCTTTGAAAATGATTTATAAACTTTCAGAAGCTATGATTCCTGAAAATAAACCTTGAAATGTGAACTCCATGCAGATTCATTTTTTTTCCTTCTTGAAATTCTAAATCCTGTTCACATCACTATGGCCTCTTTATTCCAATTATTGGAACTCACATTCTGTAACTGTAGAAAACAATACTTCTTAATTAAAACAAAACAAAATAAAAAACAGTGATAGAGTGCTTGTGTAGCAATGTCGAAGGCCTTGAGTGTGATTCTCAGTCCTGGGGTGGGGTGGGGAAGCAAAGAAACTGCTACTTAAATTCCCATAGTGCAAGCCACTCAAGCCACCCGGTGGCAGTGCATGCTTTTAATTTTTATTTCAGCACTCAGCAGGCAGATGCAGGTGAATCTCTGAATTCGAGACCAGTCTGGTCTACAAAATGAGTTCCAGCACAGCCAGAGCTACAGAAAAACTCTGTCTTGAAAACTAAACAAAAAATCATGATACTTGTGCCCAATACTTTTTTTAAATTATCTTTTTTTTTAGATTTACCTTATTTTGTATGTATGAGTACTTTTCCTGCATGTACGTATGTTTGCCACATGTGTACATGATAGATGTCTAAAGAAGTGGTGAGCCCCGAGTGGGGGCTAGGAATCAAGTCCCAGTCCTCTGCAAGAGCAAGTGCTTTTAACCACTGAGCCAACTCTTCAGCCATGGAACCTAATACTTTTTAAAAATGATTTATTAAAAAAATTTTTTTGAGACAGAGTCTCTCTGTGGTTTGTCAAGTATGGGGATTGAATATACGACTTCGTGCTACATCCCCAGGCTTCCTCCTATTCATATTTTTATTCTAACTTAGCTTTGGAGCCTAATCGACCACTACTCATCCATGGAAAATTTCTCTTTTTCTCTTCTTTCTTTTTTTAGGTTTTTGAAGACAAGGTTTCTCAGCTGTTAAGCTCTGGCTGTCCTGGAACTCAATCTGTAGACCAGGCTGGCCTCGAACTCACCATCTGTCTGTCTCTGCCTCCCAAGTACTGGGATTAGAGGCGTGCACCGCCTCCGCCCAGCTGACATCTTGTTCTCGATGTCATTTTGGCTAACAACAAATTCTGAAAACCATCAGGTTGCTCTTAACATTTTTCCTAAGATGTGTGAAGGATGACTACAAAGTAGTAAGACTGACACTAACGAAAACACAAGCACAAGCCTCAAACCACGATCTCCACTTCTCACACCAGCCCTCCCTCCATTCCTACATACCCAGCATCTGCCTCAAACAGAAATTTAGTATTTGTCAACTGATTCATGTTGATTAACTGATAAACAGGTACAATTAGAACAGGTAATGCGGGGCTGGAGAGATGGCTCAGGCTGTTCTTCCAGAGGTCCTGAGTTCAATTCCCAGCAACCACATGGTGGCTCCCAACCACCTGTAATGAGATCTGGTGCCCTCTTCTGGCCTGCAGACACATGTAGGCAGAACACTGTATATATAATAAATAAATCTTAAGGAAAAAAAAAAAAAAAGAACAGGTAATACAAAAGATAAACCGGGGCATTGTGGCACACACATGGAGGCGGAGGCAGGTGGAGTTCAAGGCCAGTCTGTGAGTTCAAGGCCAGTCAGATCTACAGAGAATTTCAGGCAAGCCAGAGCTATATAGTGAGACCCTGTCTCAAAAAAACAAACAAACACAACTAAAAGAAAACTGCTGGAAGACACCTATCACTAAAGCATAGCCAATCTATGCTTCAGTTTCTCAATTATAAAATACAATATCTAAGAGGGCTACAATAATTGTTACACACTGATGTGAATGTCAAACTATTTTGCTAATAGTTATTGAAATGAACTAAGGACTTTTCCTTTTGAAGCAGGACCTCATGTCACCTAGGCTGGGCTTGAACTCTGGATCCTCCTGCTTGCACCTCCCGAGTGCTGGTGTATAGTACCACAAGTCCCTAAGACTTAACATGTCCAGAACACTTCTTGATTTTCAGCCTGTCAACCTTTTTCTTTCCACAACTTCCTACTCTCAGACTACCATAGCCTCTGTACAAGACCCAATTCCTCTCTCCTTTTATATTTAGCTCTTTATTTCTGTAGGCTCTGCTTCTAACATGTATCCTGTATCCATTTACTTCTTTACTGCTAAGATTTGGTCCGAACCATTATCTCTTTCCTGAACACTGACTGGTAACTTCTGATTATCCCATTGTCATTCATTCTGCTGAATATCTGAAAGTCAATAAATTAGATCATATTGCACCCATGTTGAAATGGCTTCAATTTGAAATTTACACACCCTATATTGCCTTATAAAGGCCTTTGCCTATCTCCCATTACTACTGGATTTGTTTGTTTAACTCGAGTCCAATCTGTCTTCTGGCCCTCAGATATTCCAAGCTTTTCCACCAAACAGACTGACTCCTAATCAAGTTTCTTTCTTTTTTTTTAATTATTTTTTTATTATTTTATTTTACAATACCATTCAGTTCTACATATCAGCCACGGGTTCCCCTATTCTCCCCCCTCCCACTCCCTCCCCTTACCCCCAGCCCACCCTCCATTCCCACCTCCTCCAGGGCAAATCCTCCCCCAGGACTGCGCTAATCAAGTTTCTTGTATCTAGAAGTATCTGTTCTCTGTCCACGGGTGGCTTTGTTTACTCTTGAATGCTACCTACTCAGAGAACATTCTGTGAAAACACCGCCTCAAGCACGGCAGGCAAGAGTCCCACCACTGAGCCACATGACCCCAATTTCCAAATAATGGTATGAATGACAGAGTTGGTTCAATTTTAGTATTTTCTTTAAACATGTTAACCTTCGAGTCCCTGACGAGGATGGCAACTTGCTAAATACCTGACAGACTTTAAAATCTTAAAGTCTCCAGAAATGTTAAACCAGGTTTCCCGGGTTCCAAACAATGGCTCACGTTTTTTATAGAGTCACAAACGGCAGTCAAGGAACCCAATCACAGAACTTCTCGCCAGAAGTAGTCCCGGATATTCACGCCCACCCCAAAAAACCACCCCAAGAAATCAAGCTATCTCTTAGGGTTATGACTCGCCAAAAAGCTTCTGAGCGTTGAGCTGCCCAGTGGCCACGCGTCGCCCGCTACCTCACACCTCGCAGAGCAGGCTGATGGCCACACCCGTCACCTAAGCCCCACTACTCACCCGGCAATTCCCGCATAAGGTAGAAGGGCCCGCTTCCAGCAGCCGACTTGTCTGCGCCCGCGGGGGCCGAAGTCGCCGTCGGGGGCGGGGCCGAGCCCGGACCCCCTCCCGGAGGGGGTGGAGGTGGCGGCGGCGGCTTTCCCGGCCCGAAGCCTAGGGAGCTTGGGGGCGGCGGGGGGTCAGCTTGAGCCCCAAACAGCGCCGTGAAATTCTCCATTGCACTCTGCGCTCCTGCGTTACCCGGGACCTGGCGTTAATGACTTTCATTGGACAGTTACTTTCACAGAGCACCACCCCCGGCCCCTTAAGAGCTTCCCGTCATTGGATGCGTTAGGCCCCGCCTACCATCTTCCGGCAGCCACTTCCGTCGCTGTTCGGGAAGCAGTTCGCAGTCTTCTAGCCAATAAAATGACTCAGGTAGAAAAGCGACAACTACCTCAACCAATAGACTCCCTAACCCATTTTCTGATCTCTCATAGCACCCAATAAGAGATCTACATCCGGGTCCGGAGGCGTTGCACCTGATATTTGGCCCAATAGAAGCCTCGCTGGTGGGGGGCGGCGGAGCGAAGAGCTGGGGGCGGGACGGAGCCTGCGAGAGAACCGGCAGGAAAGATGGCTGTCCTCGCGCCTCTGATTGCTCTGGTGTACTCGGTGCCGCGGCTTTCTCGATGGCTGGCCCGACCTTATTGCCTTCTGTCTGCCCTGCTCTCCGCTGCTTTCCTCCTCGTGAGGAAAGTGCCGCCGATTTGCAACGGTCTCCCCACGCAGCGCGAAGATGGTAACCCGTGTGACTTTGACTGGGTGAGCGCCCCCCTGCCTCAGTAGCTCTCGACCTTGACCATCTCTGCCCCTGCAGCTGCATATGAAAGTGTAGGGGTTTTGTTTGTTTGTTTGTTTTTGTTTTGTTTTGTTTTTTTGAGACAGGGTTTCTCTGTGTAGCTTTGCGCCTTTCCTGGAACTCTCTTTGGAGACCAGGCTGGCCTCGAACTCACAGAGATCCGCCTGCCTCTGCCTCCCGAGTGCTGGGCCGTTACTATTCTTAACCCCTTTAAGATGAAGAAATATTCCACGGTTTTCTTCACACATGAACATTTTTCTACAATGATGCCAAGCTTCCTGGGACACCGGTGAGGAAGACGGGCCAGTAGTAGAAATACAATTTCTATTTATTTATCTATCTATCTATCTATCTATCTATCTATCTATCTAGTAGAAATACCATTTCTGTTTATTTATTCATTCATCTATCCGTCTGTCTATCCATCTAGCACACTGATCTCAGTGTAGTTTGGCGACTTTTCCAAGGTCACACAGCTTTCAGAAACTGCTGTCTAACCTTGTTTAATTCTCTGATAGGCCGGTCGACTTTGGTCGCTAATTCAACAAAATGACTTAGGTGGAAAAGCAATCGCACGACTACCCTGGCCACCATAACTTCACACACTATCATCCTCAGGGGGTAATAGAAAAACGGGGGGGGGGGAAGATTACAAAAATACGAGTCGAGGGGAGCCCCTCACCATCTGAGAAGCAGTAATTTCAGAACAGTTAACATTCACTGTGAAGGTTGTGGGCATAGAGCTAATATTCCTTTCCTATACAAATGTTTATATTAAAATAGCAGTGACCCAGACTTAAGGCCTGAAGGTATTACTATAACCTTGGGGAGAGCTCGTTCTTTCCTCGGACATTTCTGGGACTCTCAAACAAGATTATTAACTTTGTTTGCATTAAAGATACCATACCTTGGGGTTGGGGATTTAGCACAGTGGTAGAACGCTTGCCTAGCAAGCACAAGGCCCTGGGTTCGGTCCTCAGCCCTGAAATTTAAAAAAAGAAAAAAAGATACCATACCTTTTCCAGGCTTTGTGTAGTACCCCTTTAGCCCCAGCACTCTAGAGACAGAGGCAGGTGGATCTCTGTGAGATTGATATAGGCCCTCCTGGTCTATATAACACATTCCAGGTCAGTCAAGACTACATAGAAAGACCCTATCTCAAAACGACACCACGCCAAAGACCCTACTTTCCTCCATTCCTGTGCTCTAGAGTCGTACCTTATAAGTTGTAACACTGCCAGGTGCCTCTTAAGAATTGCTCTATGGGGGATGGAGAGATGGCTCAGAGGTTGGGAGCACTGGCTGCTCTTCAAGAGGTCCTGAGTTCAGTTCCCAGCAACCACATGGTGGCTCACAACCATCTATTATGAGATCTGGTGCCCTCTTCAGGCCTGCAGGCATACATGCAGGCAGAACACTGTGTACATAATAAATATATAAATTAAAAAAAAAAATCACCCATGAAGCTGGATTGTGGTGGCACACTCCTTTAATCCCAGCACTTGGGAGGCAGAGGCAGGCGGATCTCTGAGTTTGAGGCCAGCCTGGGCTACATAGCCAGTACCAGGACAGCCAGGGATACACAGTGAAACCCTGTCTCAAAAAACCCAAGGGAAAAAAGAAAAGAATCGCCTTATGATTTCATCTAGGCTTCTTAGCTACCCTTTGAAGATAACTTCAAATCCCACCAGTATGTTATAGATGACTATGGTGAAAAAAATGAAGTGCCCACGCACTTGAGTCTTTCTGAACTCCTCTTTCTCCCTTAACCTACATACTCACAAGCCTATACTAAAATAGCTTAGGGCTAGAAAGATGGACCGGTGGTTAAGAACACATACTGTCATGCCAGGCAGTGGTGGCGAATGCCCTTTAATCCCAGCATTTGGGAGGCAGAAGCAGGTGGATCTTTGTGAGCTTGAGGCCAGCCTGGTCTACAGAGTGAGTTACGGACAGCCAGGACTACACAGAGAAACCCTGTCCCAAAAAACACAAACAAAACAAACCCCAAATACTCTTTTTTGTTTGTTTGTTTTTTGAGACAAGATTTCTCTGTGTAGCTTTGCGCCTTTCCTGGAACTCACTCTGTAGCCCAGGCTGGCCTCGAACTCACAGAGATCCGCCTGCCTCTGCCTCCTGAATGCTGGGATTAAAGGCATGCACCACCACTGCCCGGCCCAAATACTCTTCTGATAATCCAAATTTGATTCCCAGTGCCCACATCAGGAAGCTCATGGCTGCCTGTAACTCCAGCCTTAGAGGTCTTTTTTAGGCACTTGCAATCAATTGCACATATCCAAACATGCATGTGATAAAAAATAATAAAAGTGAATATTGAAATAGTTTTAAGACCTCAACTCTGGGTGCTGGAGAGATGGCTCAGTAGTTAAGAGCACTGGCTGCTCTTCTAGAGGACTTGGGTAAGGTTCCTCACACCCACATGGTGGGTCACAACTATCCATAATTCTAGTTCCAGCATTGACCTCTGGTCTCTGCGAGCAGTAGACACATAGTAAGTACACTTATATACATTCAGGTAAACCACTAATACACATAAAGTAAAAATAATTCGTTAAAAACAAACACATATGGGGCTGGAGAGATGGCTTAGCAGTTAAGAGCACAGACTGCTCTTCTAGAGGACCCACGTTCAATTCCTAGTACCCACATGGCAGCTGACAACTATCTGTAAGTCCAGGATCCAACACCCTCACACAGAATATATACAGGCAAAACAATATTAAAAAAAAAAAAGAATAAACACATACACACCAAACTCTTTAGACTGGCCAACTGTGAAACTCCTTTAATGAAACTGTGAGCCCCAATTTGACCTGAAAGGGCTCCTAAAAGATTAGGGGAGCTCCTCAGGCTGTGCCAGCAACAGTGGAGCTGTGCCTATAGCCCTTGCTGGCCTGGAACTTGTTATGTAGACCAAGATAGGTTTGGGCTTTTGGCATTTCTCCTGCCTCCACCCTCCAGAATGCTGGGTTCACGAGTGTGCACTACTAATGTGGACTTACACTTTGGGTATCCTGAAGATGCAAAACAATAAAAATTTGAGACTCACTGAAAAGAAATTGTAGTATACTACTACTAATAGTAATTGTTAAGAAGTGCAGCATGGTGGTACACATGTGTAGTAATATCAGCATTTAGGAGGTGGAGGCAGGATCACAAGTTCAAAGCAACATAGGGACTTGGTGCCATCTTGACCTGCAAAACATTCTCTAAAACAAAGACAAAACATTGTAGCCTAAGCTATGCAGCAAGATCTTTCTCAAAACCAAATGACAAAAAAGTGCCCAGCACTAGAGAGGCTGAGGTGGGAGGAGCTTCAGTGAGTTTGAAACTTGCCTGGACTACACAGTGAGAGAGAAGGAAAGTTATCCTCTGCCTTCCACATGTGTGCTGGGCCCATGCATGGGAGTACACACGTGAAACCAATAAATGTAGTTAAAGAAAACTAGTGGGACATGGTGATGTACCACTGTAATCCTGATACTTTAGAGGCTGAGGCAGGAGAATTGCCTGGGCAGGATCCTGAGAACAAGTCTCAAGGATAGAAGGAGGGAGAGAGGAAAAAGAAAGAAGAGAAAACCTAAAGGTCAGGGATTTGCTGAAATCTGCTGAAATTCAGCTGTCACTGGCTCTCTTCCAGAGAGAAGTGGAGATCCTGATGTTCCTGAGTGCCATTGTGATGATGAAGAACCGCAGATCCAGTAAGCTTCCCTGCTTTGCACTGATTGGGGGTTAGGACGCATGCCCTCAGAAGCTCCTTTTTCATGTTATTGGAGGAGTGTTATTTAATGAACTAGTTCCACATTTCATGCCAGGGGCTAGTTTGACCTTCAACTTCTGTATCCTCTCCCTCCTGTTCCCATTTCAAAGTACCCCAGGAAGAGGGACAAAGGAGTGGGAGCCTTCAGCCCAGCCTGACTGTGGTATCTCTGTGTTCCAGTCACTGTGGAGCAACACGTAGGCAACATCTTCATGTTCAGTAAGGTGGCCAACGCAATTCTTTTCTTCCGCCTGGATATTCGAATGGGTCTACTGTACCTCACCCTCTGCATAGGTGAGAAAATGGCTTTTATCATGTTATGGTTCTATAGTTAATTATTTGAAACAGTAAAGTTCTTTGATAAAGGCTTGATTTTTGAGGACCAGATTCCAGTCCTTATCTTACACCTAGTGAGTTATATTTGTAGCTCTTAATTATGTGCAGGTGGTGAGTATTCACTTAGTATTTTAAGAGGAATATGTGTTAGCGATCTATGTACACATGTATATTCTTTGATGTCTGAAATTCCTGAGTGGGTTTGCAGAAACCCTGTAAAAGGCCCTGTATGTATCTCTGACATCTTTTCTCTGTGTTCAGTGTTCCTGATGACCTGCAAGCCCCCCCTGTACATGGGTCCTGAGTACATCAAGTACTTCAATGATAAAACCATTGACGTGAGTATTCTACTTTCTGTTTCTTGTTTCTTGGTTCCTGCTTTGTGGTTTTGTGCTCTTTATTCATAAAGATGGGGCCTCAGGATGGAAATCATCACTGGGGTTGGTGATATATAATTGTTTTCCTGGTACCTGGGGTAGGATTGCTGCAAGAATGTTTTTTTTTTTTTTGTTTATTTGTTTTGTTTGTTTCCCTGTTTTATTGTTTGTTTGTTCATTTTTGTTTTTCAAGACGAGATTTCTCTGTGTAGTCGTGACTGTCCTGGAACTCCCTCCATAGACCAGGCTGGCCTTGAACGAAGAGATCCACCTGCCTCTGCGTCCCAGATGCTAGCATTAAAGGTGTATGCCACCCCTCCCCCCCCAGCAGATTGCTGCAAGTTTGAGGCCAGTGTAGGCCACATAGTGAGTTCCAGGACAGCCCCAGGTACACAGTAAGATTGTCTCAAAAGAAAGGCTGGGAGACTGGTGAGATGGCTCATCAGGTAAGGACGTCTGCCACACAAGCCCTGACCGCCAAACTTGGTCCCTGGAGCCCATGTACAGGTAGAAGGAGAGAGCCCACTCCACAGAGTTGTCCTCTGTCCTCCATATGTGCACCATGGCACATAGACATATGCAATAATAATAAATAAAAAATATATATATATACTTAAAAACAAAAACATTCAGTGGGTAAAAAAGACGGTCCTTGCTGCCAAACCTCAGTCTTCAGTCTGGAAAGAGAAAACTGACTCTAAGTGGGCAGTGCACATGTCTCTACACCCACACAATAAATACAATTAAGTTTTTTTAGGTTATTAAAAAAAATTGGTCGCCGGGCAGTGGTGGCGCACGCCTTTAATCCCAGCACTCGGGAGGCAGAGCCAGGCGGATCTCTGTGAGTTCGAGGCCAGCCTGGGCTACCAAGTGAGTTCCAGGAAAGGTGCAAAGCTACACAGAGAAACCCTGTCTCGAAAAAGAAAAGAAAGAAAGAAAGAAAGAAAAATTGGTCATTTTGCTTATGGTAGACTGCTTGCCTCACGTGTGTGAGGCACTAGATTCAATCTTCAGTACCAACAAACAAACCTGAAAAGGTTGTCAGGGTACTGGTTGATTATGCGGAAGCAGAAGTTGAGGCTAAGGAGTTAGTCACAAGTCTGAAGCTTCTCAGATGCCCAGCTGTTTCAGCCTATTCTCTCTTCCCTTTGTGTGGTAGGAAGAACTGGAGCGGGACAAGAGGGTCACTTGGATTGTGGAGTTCTTTGCCAATTGGTCTAATGATTGTCAGTCATTTGCTCCCATCTATGCTGACCTGTCCCTCAAGTGAGTATGCAGAGTGAAGCATGTCAAAAATGGAAATTCTGTGGCTTCCTTCCTTTGGCCTAATTTTGCACATCCAAAGTTGTTTCTCCCTTTCTTACCTAGGTATCTCTATTTCTAGTTCCCTTGATCCATCCCTGTATTTTTCAGTATGTTAAATAATATATTTTTTGCAGGTACAACTGTACAGGGCTAAATTTCGGGAAGGTAGATGTTGGACGCTATACTGATGTTAGCACACGGTATGTAGATGCCTGGGCAGAGGGTCTGAGAATTACTTAGAGTGATGTAAGTGATGGATACAGCTGCATGTACAAAGTCCTCTCTGGGCCCTATAGGTACAAAGTGAGCACGTCACCCCTCACCAAACAACTTCCTACCCTGATCCTGTTCCAAGGTGGCAAGGAGGTAATTCGGCGGCCACAGATTGACAAGAAAGGACGAGCCGTCTCTTGGACCTTTTCTGAGGTACATGAAAAAAATGGGCAATGGTTTGGAGAAGTATATACAACAGTGAATGGGCTTTGTACTTAATCTGGGTTTAATTCTGAATTCTGCCACTTGCCCACTGTTTTTAAGGGTGTACATTAGTTACTGGATGTCACCTAGTAAGTCACTCAGCAGATTGGTTATATGCTTGCTGCTAATACTGAGGAAAATCATAAATAAGACCTGGTCTATGAGGTGCCTGTAGTTTTTATGCAATTAGGTTCCTCATCAGTAAATCTGAGGTAGTAACACATGACTCATAGGACTGCTTTACAGTTGCATGGAGGTACAATTCTTGGTACAGAAATTGACCTCTAATAGAAAAGAAAAATTAGGTTAGGACATACTTCTGCCCTGTGATTCCTCTGGTTTCTAGACTGTGCTTAGTTAAATACATCTACTTTCAAGCTCTGGACTTTACCTTCCCACCTAGTGCCTGATGTGTTTGTTCATCTCTTTGCATAGGAGAATGTGATTCGAGAGTTCAATTTGAATGAACTCTACCAACGAGCCAAGAAGCTGTCAAAGGGTGGAGACAGTGTGTCGGAAGAGAGTCCTGTGGCCCCTGCTCCCTCTGCTGTGCCGGATGGGGAAAACAAGAAGGACAAATAGGGTCCTGCATTGTTCTTGCTTCTGTCAGTTTCTGGCACCTTTGAGGCCCAATTCCAGCTGTAACCACAATCCTTGCCTGAGGCTGTGGCCATTTGTTTTCTCCTGTTGGGCTGTGCCTGGGTTGGGGCAGGGAGCCTGCTTCTGGGTTTTAAAGAAGCATCTAACGAACTATGAAGCATTCTATGGAAAGGCTGTTATGCCTCGGCCAAGTGTTTCTGGAAGGGAGTGATCTCATAGACAGAGGTAGAAATGGTTTCCCTCCAAGGTTGGGTCAGCGTGTAAACTGCTATTCAACGCTTGGATATCACCAGTCTGTGGTTTCATTATTCCTCCTAGTGAGCCTGCAAAGCATAAACTAAATTAAACTCTAATATTAGATGTCAGAATATAACGCACTAAGAAATTTTCCTCAAGAACCCTTTCTTCCTTAGGCCTTTCTGGCTTGATCTGTGGCATTCATTAAGATACTTAAGCTTACAGGTGGGGGCAGTAGCTCACGCCTTTCATCCCAGCACTGGTACCAGAGCCAGGCAGATCTCTGTGAGTTCGAGGCCAGCCTGGTCTACAGAGAGAGATCCAGGACAGGCACCAAAGCTACACAGAGAAACCCTGTCTCGGGAGAAAAAAAAAGATGGTTAAGCTTAAAGGATTGGAGAAATGATTCAGTGGTTAGGCACTCACTGGCTATTTTTCCAGAGGACTCCGTGGGGAGGGGCTGAACTGTCTGCAATGCTAGTCCCAGGGACTCCATCTGATCATCTCCTGGACTTGGCTGGCACTGTATGCATGTAGTGCACAAATATACATGAAGGCAAAACACCCAAAAGGGGTTTATGTGTTGTAATTTAATCTTTAAATGTCACTGATCCCAACAAAAAGCCTTCAACCAGAATTTTCGTCATTGGAAATAGAACTGAATGATCCCCCTGTATTGTGAGAACTGAGAGGAAGGGGCAATGTAAACTTAAGAGGTTCTTTTGTGTGGGATGGGAAGAAGAAAGCCCCGAGTCTGGACAGCTGTTTTCTCGTCCACACAGCTTTCCCTAATAAAGGGATTCTTATTTTGATTGCCTCGGCGTTTCTCCTTTATTAGAAAGTGAGCAGCTGCAAAGGAACTGCCCATTTTTTGTTGTTCGTTTTTGTTTTTTAAATCTAAGGTTGAATATTGAACTCGGGGACTCTATAAGCCAAACACACCTCTAGACCCTAATTAATTTTTAAGCTTGTGGGTGAGGGTCTTGCTTGGTTGGAGAGATTAACCTCTAAATCTCGATCCTCTTGATTCACCTAAATACCTGAGACTAAAGGCGCCAGCTACAGCGCCGAGATTATAAATGGGCTCGGGTTCAAAGCCCACTTAACATCAAAGGCCATACCTTTTGGTTTCTCACTTGAGGACGTGGCTCTCCAAGTTCTGTCCGAGTTAGTTTCTGTAGTCTGTGTACAAGCGGCACGGAAATGCAGTGTTAAACTTCACTTGGAACTGGTCTACAGATCTCAGGATAGGAGGTTTAGGTACAGAAAGCCCCTAACCGAAAAAGGCGCCAAGTGTGTGTGTGTGTGTGTTTTTTTCTGAGTCTCGGATGAATGTCCCCTTGGCGGCGCAGGGTGGTTTGATCCGGTCTTCCGCACCGCCCCCACCTCCCTTCTGATAGGCAGCCTGATTGTGCTTGAAGGGCCCGCCTTTACATCACGTGGGTGCCGCCAGCCGCGCTTTCCTTTGCTGGGTGGTTTGGACTTGGCAACTGCAGTTCTGGGTTGCGGGTTTGTCTCCCTGGGGTCGTGTCGCCACCTCATCCCCACGTTGTCTCGGCCACCGGAGGTCCGTACCATGGCCCCCGTCGGAAGAAAGCGGAAGGCTGCGCCGGCAGATACAGTAGACAAGCGCGAGAAACTGGCGGAGGGCCCGGCGGTGGTCATCGAGCACTGGTGAGGGGTGGGAAGTCGCGGGGGGCAGGGAAGCGTAGGCCCTGGCTGCTGCGACCCGAGGCCCCGTCTGCAACTCCTTGTGTCCGCAGCACGAGCTGACGCGTGTACGGGCGCCATGCGGCTGCCCTGAGCCAGGCTCTGCAGCTGGAGGTCCCAGAGCTGCCTGTGCAGGTGAACCCATCCAAGCCGCGGAGGGGCAGCTTCGAGGTGACGCTGCTGCGCCCGGACAACAGCCGTGAGTGGAGGCCGCGATGGGGGTAGGGGCGAGAAAGGCCCCTGATGATTGAGGGGATGGGGTAGTAGTGAGTGCCACCATAATTTATCTTTATCCGATCCTTTCCCAGGTGCCGAACTCTGGACTGGTATTAAGAAGGGCCCGCCACGAAAGCTCAAATTTCCTGAGCCTCAAGAGGTGGTTAAAGAATTGAAGAAGTACCTTTCATAAGAACGTTGGACAGGGAGTCCCCATGCTGAGGTTTGCATCATGACACAGGGATGCACACTGGGGTAGACTGAGAGAGAAACCGTTACAACGTACCTCACGCGGGATTTATTTATTTTGGTTTTTCGAGACAGGGTTTCTTTGTGTAGCTTTGCGCCTTTTCTGGGACTCACTTGGTAGCCCAGACTGGCCTCGAACTCAGAGATCCACCTGGCTCTGCCTCCCGAGTGCTGGGATTAAAGGCGTGCGCCACCACCGCTCGGTGGTGTCATGCGGGATTTAAAAAGAGGGGTAAAACTAGAATTCCTGTTGGTAACACCCACCCCACCCCCACTTCCCCCCAAAAACGTCTTGCCCTACAGGTATGGGCAAGTTTTGATTTGTTTACTATTTCAGTTCCCATCTCTGGTGACTATTTTAATTCCATGAGTCTGTTGCAAATCTTCCTGGTTCAAGTGTGACATTATTTCTGTAGTAAGGTTTTTCTCCCTGGTAGTGGCAGAATCTTTGTTGTTACTTTACTTGCACTTTGCTGGTTTTTGCTGGTAGTCTGTGTGATGAGGTATCATTACACCCCACCCCACCCCCATTATTGGTTACATGGATTTGTTTTTGTCCCTAGTGCTTTACACAGTGCTTTGGCATGTTTTCTGCACTTGCATACTGAGCGAGCGCTAACCATAGGTGGGCGGGCATGTCTGTGTCTCTCCTGGTCCTTGGGATTGCCTGGAACCTGATTCAGACGTTCCCTTCTCTATTTGCAGCTTTCATTCCCTGGAGATGTTGAAGCATTTATGATAGTGCATGGCCAAACTTCAGCTGTGTACCTGAAGCCATAGTTTCTTCCTCACCAGAAATGATGGTTCAGTGGTGAGGCAGCCCTCCAGAAAGGCATTGTAAGAGTGTTTGGATTGGTTTAATAAAAGTTAAAGTATCTGAGAATAAGGGTCAACTTTAAGTTTTTTCTTAAAGAATGGACACAACCAGCCTTGTGGGGTTATTGGTCTTTGTATATTTCACAGTGCAAAGGAACTTCTGTGTGGAAATTGTAGAGTAAAACATGTGAAACACAAAAAAACATGGATGTTGCTGGGTTTGGTGGTGTATGCCTGCAATCTTAGCATTTGGGAGGCTGACTGAAGTTTGGGAATCCATAGCCAACCTGGTCTATATAAGACCAGGTTTTTTGTACAACAAACAACAAACAACAAACAAAAAACTAGATACAAAGTAAATCTTTTTTTAAAGCAACTACTTTTAATCTACTTCTTGGAAGTGGTTATGGAGGTAACATCTTCCAGGCCCCTGTGGAGGCTTTTGCTAGACTTCTCCTACTGGCAGTGAGTAAGCCCCATAGGCTGGGCTTAGTGGCACAGTCCTGTAACACCAGCTACAGGAGGTGAGGCAGGAGTCAGAGTTGAGTGCCAGCCTGGGTAATTTCAGGAGATCCCACTCTCATTCCAGTGTTACACCTAACGTAGCTTCATTCCTTCTCAAACATTCTTTAAATAGAACCCAACCACAAACAGTTCTAAGTTTTTCCTGAATTTTCAGTGACTGTCAGATATCTCATGAGCTGTAAAAGGCCTAGTCTTAACTATTCCTATGTCTTAACTAGAGTTGGGGACCACAATTATTTTATCACTGAAAAATGGATTACAAGGAAATAGCTCAAGTTCATAATTTTCTATCCATGGTATTGCTATTTATTTGATTTCTGCCTGGTGCACAAACCTGGGAAGGGGAGATCAGTGCTGAGAGGAGGAGACATGTGCTTGCTTTTCTGCCAAGAAAGCCTTTTGCTGATCAACAGTTGTCACCCTCCTAGGAGCTCTAACCTGCCCTCTGCCTCCACTATGTTAGTATATCTACCTCTGTTTCTGACTCTGAGGAGGGGTCGGGCCAGACAGAGGGAACACTAGTGGGCCCCAGCCTACCCTCCACTGGCCAGTCTACCACATCAATTTCATCTTCAGAACTGCCAGGAAATGGGTCCAGCAGTTCAGGGTTAGCAGACACTTCCCTGACTGCCTTGGGAGCAGGATACAATACCTCATCCATGCCTAGGGACACTTCCAGCCCTGTCTCTGCCCAATTTGAGCATGGAAGTGAGAGGTCCCTATAAGACCTTTGGGAAGAGTCAGGGGAGTCAAGGTGGAGAAGTTTTTCTCCCTGACCATCCAGTGGCTGGGAGCTGGTAATTTCAAGGTCTGGAGTCCAAGAGCCTCTCAGCGAAAGTGCCTCTCTACTCACCTCAGAGGGCATGACAAGGGGGCTAAGGGGCTCAATTGATTCTGTGTTCTCAGAGCGCATGACAAGGGGACTACAGGGCTCAACTGGCTCTTTGTTCTCGACAACAGGTTCCTTTTCCAATCCTGTGAGGTCTCTGGGCCACAGTTCCATGTCTGGCAAACACCATTCTTCCCCTTCAATCCAATTCTTTCCTGTTTCTGATAGGTGATAACTTGGGGTTCTGCAGCCTTCAGCCCCAGGACTCTCCAAAGACCCTACTGGTGGCTCAACATCTGAGCCACACAGCATGAAGTCCAAAATCTCTTCCAGCTCACTGGTGGCTGCAGCACTTGTGATTCGATACTGCTCAGCTTCACAGGGCTGGCCTAGCAGGGTTGTGTCAAATGTGTAGGGCTCTCTGCAGTCAATATTCAACACAGGTTCCTTCCCTATCAGCATTGGACTGGACCCAAACTCTGACTTCACCACAGGGTGGTCCGGGGAGTGGCTAGCAGAGAGCAAAATGTCTTGTAGCCTAGGGCTCTCTGGGGAGTCCTGACACAGTTGTAATCTAGCAGGTGTTTCCTGCTCATTAACTGAGGACAGCGAAGTTCCTGGAGGCTCTCCTACATCTGAGGGTTCTAAGATCTGGGGGCTATCTTGAGTGTTTCTCAGGGGAGGCTCCTGGACCACCTCCCAGCAGGTACCATTGACAATCTTCCTAAGCTTTACTCTTCCAACCTGCCCCTCTTCCACAGAGTTGGAGGTGAGTGCTCTGCATTCAGGGCTCTGCTTCTTGCTCCCACCTGTCTTCCTAACATCAGGTGGGTCTGAAGTGCTCTGCAGAGGACTGACTTCCCCTGGCTTCTGCTTGTCCACACCCTGGGATGATTTACTTACACTTCTCTGCCTCCAAAGACGCCGGCCAGGGACTGTGGGCACTGAACTGGGACCACTTGAAACACTGGAAGGCTTAGATGTACAGACATGGGAGGATGGTTTTGAGCGACTCAGCCTGATCTTTCTGGGCAACAGTTGCTCATCCACAGAACGGTACAAACTGGGATGGGAAAGTGCTGTAGGACCTAAAGCAGGGTTATTCTTGTACTCCTTTGGCCCTTCTCTCTGGCTTGATGGAGATGAGCTGCTTTCTTGAGTCAAGCAAATCCTGGCTTTCTTTTTGAGTAGAAGGGTATCTGACAAGCTCTCTACATTTGGTAGGTTGCTCTTTTTGTGAGGCCCCTCTTCTTCCCCTAAGGACTTAAACCTCACTGCTCCAAGGGGACTAGGAGTCTGGGTGACAGGCAGTGGAGTTCGAGGGCGGCGGCTGGGTGCTACCACTCTGGCAGAGATTGGTGCAGCACTTGGTGGTTGTAAGCATTCTCTGTTTAGTCTTCGGCCCTGAGGAGCCTTTACTAACTTGCCACCCTCTAGCTGAAGGGTTTCCAGCTCAGACACTCGGAG